ATCAGGCCTCTCTGTGGAGAAGCGAGCCTTAGGCATTCCTGACGTGTCTGCTTCATCCTTGTTTTGGAAGTACATCAAAAACTCCAGGCCCTGCCCCAGGGTCTGTCGGTACCAGTAAAGGGCATTGTGACCAGAAATTGGATCACACCTGAGGGCCACATCCTGCCCTGTCTTTGTGACCCTGTGCCTGGGTTCCTGGGTGACTTCAGCCCCTGTGTGACCTGCAGAGACAGATGGTGAGAACAGGATGGGTAAAATGATGGGAATCATGATACAGACAGACTCACAGTCACACTAATACACAGATACATACCACACAAACATCACATACACCAGGCATACTACACAGTCAACTCAAACATTTCCCATGGAGACACACAAGTGCACACGCACACACATAGAGGAACACCTTGGCATCCGTGGACTCACCTGTCCCCAGGATGCAGATGGCTACCCAGCAGAGGAGCCTGGAGGCCATGGTGGGTCAGGCAGTACTAGGGGGTTGGCTGGGTCAAGACTCTGTGCTCACTTTCCCCAAAGGCAGGTGATGTCACAGTCTCATCAGTCCCCATGGCCTCAGGATCACATGATCATAATACAAGATATTCACATGACTGATTTGGATATTTATAAGCTCCTTTTGCAGAGAGTCATGGGTCCCCACCCACAGCCCAGTGTGTCTGGACACCTACTCCACACTATACCTGTACTTGTGTCTTGTCCCCTGGGACTTGTCTCTTTCTCATCCTGGTCAGTGTGATGCCCGACAGCTCCTCAGGACTCACCCCCACTCCAGTCAAGGATGATCCTGTGCCCCAGGTGTCCATGTCTGCCAGAGTGTCTCCACCCACCCGGCCACATTGCTCAGCATCACCATTCCATAGGCAGGGTGGGCACTGGGGCTGACTCAGCTGGGCCCTGGAGGAGCTTGAAGGTGCTAAGGTTCCTAGGGATACAGGAGAACAAATGATGCCAGGGCCAATGCCTGAGTCTGAAGCTCCTATTCCTTCTGAGGGTCAAAGACCAACATGCCGGAGTTCACTCATCTCCATGCAGGATTCTGTCCCCACGGCCCATGGCAAAGCCACTGCCACTCAAGTTTCCTAGCAACAAAATGGCTTCCTCTTTTCTTCTTTATGGGGGGGACACTCAGCCCCATTGCCCAAGACACATCAGTGTGAACATGCAATAACAAACCTCACTGTTCCTCCGCAAGTCCATGAAGCTGGCATCTGGGATTCAACTCTTCATCTCTGCTACCAGATATCCCATGTCCAATGGACAAAACATGTCACTGGACAAATGCTACAGACTGTCGTTCCTTGAGAGGGAGCCAGGGAGTAGGATTTGAGAAGGCCAAGCATTTGGGAAGGAAACAAGGGGCAAGGGACAGGACACAGATACACTGTGTTGTTAGCCCAGGGGTCTATGGCAGAGACCCCATCACTAGGTCAGGACCAGCTGAGTGTGGCCTGGGCTGACCTACCTGCAGGACTCCCAGGACCCCAGCACACAGGAGGTGCATGGTAGGGGCAGGCAGAGTGCAGGGATGGGCTCTGGAGGAGTCCTTCTGAGATGTCACCCTCCTTCCCAGCCTGGCCCCAAAGCCACCTTGCACAGTGACCACGCCCCATTCCCAGAAACCTCAAGTCAAAAATGAACACGTAAGCCAAGAGCTTGGAGTGGGAGGCATACGCTGCTCCAAGTTTGTACATGTCTCACAAGCAGAGACACAGATACATACCACATAAATGTCACACACACACACATATTACACACACCATGGATACTACACACATGTACACACACATCACAAGCAGAGATGTTTTCTTGCCTGTGTGCAACACAGCTTGTGCCTTGATGTATAACTATGCCGTGGAAGTAGAACCCCTCCCTGACTCACTGGTTTTCATTTGTGTAACTTTTCCAGAAGGTTAGGGGTGGCCCTTATGGCTTCTGGTGCCATCTGTGACTGCTGGGTCTCAATCCTCTTTCAATGATCCTTTTCTACTTTGCTCCACTCCTCACCATCCTGTGAGCATCCTTCCCTCAACGAAGATGCTCTCTGGATTCAGACCCCCAAGCCCTGGCACCTCTTCAATGCTCAAGGAACGGTCTCACTCAGGTTCTTGTCAACTCACTGACCGGTGGGACACTGCCAACACCTAGCTAGCTTCAGCCGGCATCTGCTTCCTGAAGTGGTTGACAGAGTAACGGTCCCCAAAGATGCCCAAGTCCTAAAGCCTGGAACCTGTGAGGTCAGATTTCATGGCAAGGGAGCAGTAAGGCTGCTAATCAGTGGGCAGAATCCCTGGAAGTGCACAGGATAACTCAGCTGCTAACCAAGAGGTGGGGGGTTCGAGTCTACCCAGAGGTTCCTGTGATTTGCTGCTGAAAGTCAGCCCATGGGGACCCCATGAAGCTGCTTTACTCTGACACGCATGGGGTCACTATGGGTCAGAGTCAACTTGACAGCAGCTGATCACTGGAAAAATTGTCCAGGAGTGTTTTCTTCTGGAATCTTCTCCAAGGAGCAGACTGGACCCTGCATGCACCTTCATGCCCTGATTTCCTGCAGCCTGTCCTTGGCCCTGTTCCTCAGGAGACAGCGGTTCCACAGAAAAGTAGAATACTTACTGTAAATACTGTGCACTTAATATTGTAGTCCCTGAGATCCCAAGGAAGGGAACATATTTTCATTTTCAAGTTTCCTTTTCTATCTCAGGGAGCTTTGGTAGTGTAGTGCTTAAGGCATGTGACTGCTACCCAGAAGGCTGGTGGTTCAAACCCACCAGCCACTCCCCAGAATGAAGACAGGGCAATCAACTTCCTCGGAAACCCAAGGAGGGTCGCTATGAGTCAGAACTGACTCAACGGCACTGAGGTTTTTCCTTTCTTTCTTTCTATTTCCTGGGATCCTATATTTTGTACAAAGTAAAAGCAAAAACCCACTGCCGTCGCGTGAACTCTGACTCACGGTAACCCTTTAGGACAGAGTAGAACTGCCCCGTAGGGTTCTAAGGCTGTAAATCTTTCTGGAAGCAGACCGCCTCATCTTTCTTCCATGGAGGGCCTGGCAGGTTCAAACCACCGACTATTTGATTAGCAGGTGAATGCTTTAACCACTATACCACGAGAGCTCCTTTGTACAAAGTAAGGAGGCCCAAAAATGTTGGTTAAATAAAATAAATCAATGAATATCAAGTATTCATGTGCCCCCTCGCCCTCACTGTGCAGCTGGGAAGGCACCCCTGGCAATCTCCCCACTCCCACAAAACAAAGTAAGACTGGGTGCCATGGGGTCAGCTCGGACTCATGGTGATCTCCTGTGTGTTCAAGTGGGACCGGGCTCCAGGGGTTTCCAACGGATCATTTTTCAGCAGGTCACCAGGCCTTTTTCTTCACACCTCTGGATGGACTTGAACTTCCAAACTTTAGGTGGGCAGCCAAGCAGGCTCACTCTCTGCACAGCCCGGGGACAGCCCCTATGAAAGACTTCACATGGCCTGGTCTGCACCACAGCTCCCGAGCAGAGAAGTATGCCTCTCGTCTTTGTCGCCCCGTATGATCCAGGCACAGCCTCTGCCTGAAATTGTCAGGGTTGTCAGGGAGGCAGACAGGACAGCCCCTGTGATGCATGACCTATGACCTTCCTGCTCCTGCCCAGCTGGGCCTGGAAAGGAGAAGCCGGTACATGGATCATTCTCCAGAGTGGGGTCGGGGGACCCACAGGCACGCGAGGAATGGAGCCCAGTGGGATTCCATGCTCTGCATCTGTTACCTGAACAAGCAGGAAGGTCACCTCTCCTCTGTCAGTCGTAGTTCTGGAGCTAAATAAACAGTGAAACAGTACTGAGTGGGCACCACTCCTATAAGCGCTGATGCACCTCACCTGTGTGAGCTGACTGAGCAGCACCCCATGAGTGCTCATGCAGGTTACACGTATGATCTCACTCGCCATCACCCTGTAAGCTCTAACCAACATTAAACATAGGAGCAGTGGAGAGAGTGTCTGCGGAGCCCTCCGCAGGCCGGAGCTCACTGTGAGGGCCTCTCCCTGTCACTTCCTGAGCCAGGCAGGTTTGCACACAGGGGAACAGTGGCCCTGAAGGGCTGTGCGTGTCTAGGCTGCTGGCACAAAGGAACACAGCCGAGTCCCCTTGCTCCAAGTGGCTCAGGTTCAGCTCCGAGCGGTAGTCAGAGAACTGTTGGCCTGAGAACCTGTCCGGGATGTTGGCTTTGCCTCTCTGTGTCCCTTCAAAGTACTCAAGGAGGAACTGAGGGCCCTGGCCCCGGGCCTGCTGGTACCAGGACACCGAGGGGTGGCCCGAGATGGGGGAGCAGCTCAACTTCACCTGCTGCCCTTGTGCTTTGATGAGGTGTCTCGGGGTCTGGATGACTCTGGAACCCTCTGGTCCTGTGGGCAGGGGGATGGGGGACCGAAGCTGAGGCCTGGCTGAAGCCATCTCCTGTTCTGCCTTGAGCTTTAGGGACGGCAACAGCAGGCTGGCACCTTCCCTCTTGTGCTCCGGACTCACCTGGCCCCAGGAGGCAGAGGGCCGTCCAGCAGAGGAGCTTGCAGTCCATGGTTGGTCCTGCAGGACAGACCGCATCTAGCCCTCCGGATGGGGTGTCCTAGGTGGAGAACTCTCACGCTCTGCACCCCCTTCTCCCTGATAGGAGCATTCTCTGATGTCACTGCTCTGATGTCAGCCCTGCAGGCCACTCAGCCCCCTGTGTTCTCAGGCAGGACTCCGGCTCAGGGGCCCAATGCCCCTTCTGTCCTGTGAGCCTGAAACAAAAGGTGCCTGGGTTGAGCACAGTCCCCAAGTACCCACAACACAGCTTGCTTCCTCCATGGCATTTGTACCTCAGCCTGTCCTGTCCCTGCTGGGACATGAATTACCTGGGCCTTTCCACCCAACTCCTTCACACATGTGCACACACTGTGCACTTGTATACACCACATAACATACACATGCACACACACCATACTGCCTACAGAGCACACATACATAAACACACCATACACATGCATACATACATAACCACCACAACCTGTAGAGCACACAAATACATGCACACACCATAGATATGTACACATAAACCACATACACACAGCACATCACACACAGAACACACATATATAAACACACCATGCACACATGTATACATGCACAAATGCCACAACCCATACAGCACACAAATACACATGTGCACACACCATAGGTATGTGCTCATAAACCACACACACACCATGTCACACACAGAGCACACACATGTGCATATAACACAGACATGCACACACCACACACCACATATAGCACATAGGTACACATATGCACACAACATAGACACATGCACATGAACCACACACACACACACCACACCACATACAGAGCAAACATATATATACACACACAATGCACACATCACACACATGCACAGAACGCACACCACAGACTATACACATAAACAAACACCACACCCATACAACACACATATAAACACATGCATACACCATAGACACATGCATGTAAACCACACACACCATGCCACACTGAGAACAAATACATAAACACACCATATACACATGCACACATGACACACACCACACCATGTACAGCATGCCTGCACAAACACCACAACCCATACAGCACACAAATACACACACACCACAGACATGTGCACATAACCACACATACCACATCACACAGAGAGCATATGCAAATGCACATCCCACACACACATGCACACACCATGCACCACATACAGCACATAGGTACACACATGCACATAACATAGACACATGCACATAAACCACATACACACATCACACCACACCACATGCAAAGCACACATGAATAAACACATCACACATAAATGCACATGCCACACACATGCACAGAACACATACCACAGACAATACACAAGCACAAACACTACACCACATACAGCATGCAAATACACACATGCACACACCATAGACACATGCACATAAAGCACACATACCACACCACACACAGAGCACACATACATAAATAAAACATGCATGCATACATGGACATACCACACACAGGTACACATCACACACCATTTACAACATGCACATACACGTATCACACACAACATGGATATGCACACAGTGCATGTACATATCCACAACACACACCACACACATGACACATCACACATAGGGACACACACATGGACAACAGACATGCACACAGCACACACATGGAGACACCACACATATGTAGACACCACACACCACATATAATACACATTCATACACCATTCCATTCCCATGCACACATCTCACACACAGGCACACACCACACAAATGCCTATGCAACACACATGTACACACCACACACATGGACCCACCACATATAACACAGATACACATACATCATACCACATCCAGCACACACATACACACATGCATGTACCATTCACAATGCACACATAAACCATGCACACACATATCACACATGTGTACACATCGCATACCATGCACACATGATTACCCTTTATTGGCAAGGATGGCAAGGCTCATTACTGAGCATGAACAACTTCTCTTTATATATTTTCAGGTCTGTTTCTGCAAATCGCCCCTGATGTTGGTAGTGGTGGTTGATGGAGGAACGTTTGGTTGCGGGATGACAAAGCTGGCTACATATTGCTGTAGTGTAGCCAGTAGGGTGTGTGTCCCTTCTCTGCTCTGAAGGACACTGGCGAATGACAGCTCTCCATCTGTGAGGGCACCTTCCAGAGCTGGCCATCACCTGGCTCTGGGAGCAGGGGCCCAGACAGCTGCAGGAGGGAGGTGTGGGAGGTGGGGACGCTCTATGCCCGTCCATGGTAACGAGGTGAGAGGAGGCCTGTGGAGACCAAGTGGAGACTGTCATAGTCTGGGGGCTGCATGAGTGGACAGGGATTTATCCACTTCACGAGCATCCATGAGTGTCACTCACGTCCTTGGTGATTTTCTAGGAAAGGAGTGGAAAGCAAGCAATATGACTTAGTGCCTTGGACGTCCATGGGAAAAGCCAGGGGGCGGCCTGTTTGAGCTGGTCCATATCATGAGGAGTATTTGCTCAGGTTTGGGGAGAAAGGAAGGCCCTTGGGTGGTATAACATGCCTGCTCTCCACTATTAACTGGGAGGTTGCTGGTTCCGGTCCAGCAGGAGACAACTCAGAGGAAACGCCTGGTGATTTACCTCTGAAAACTCACCCACGGGAGCACTCTGGGGCAGAGTTCTCCTGGGACGCACAGGGACGCCACGAGGAGGAGCTAACACCACCACAAAGGGTTTGGCTTATTGTTGTGGGAGAAGGGAAAGGCCTTCTAGGAGTGGGCCATTGACAGGCACAAGCAGAGGGTCTTGCTGCCTCTGAGCTTTGGGAGTGTGGGGAGCTGTGTGCTCACACAGGTCCTGTTCTGTGATGACAGGAAGTTAGGTGCTGAACGATCGTGGATTCTGGGCTGTGACAGTGAAGGGCTACTTCAGGGAGGCAGAATTCACAGGGCAGCGGAGAGGCTTTCTCGAGCTTCATCAGGGTGCATTGTCCACTCTATGCCTTGGGAAGCACCCGACTGCCTGATGAGCCAGGGTAGAGCGAGACCCCAGTGGACACGGAGTCAGGGTCAGTGCAGGGTCCACCCCAGTCCTGGGGGCTGGTGTCGTCCCGACCAAGCTGGTGGGCAGTTGCATGGACGCTCCTGCTTAGGCCTTGTTTCAAATTTTCTAGAGTTGATGAGTTGAGGATGAGGGAGGACAGACATTGTGATTGGAGAGCACAGATGTGACACCGTGGCCACTCTCTCTCCAGTCTCACTGGCGCTGAGTCACACTCCATCTCTTACACTTTCCCAAAGCCTGAGTGTCTTCTCCTGCAACTTTGTCTCATGTACCCTGGACATGCTGTCAGGAGGGACCAGTCACTGGAAATGAACATCATGCAAAGCCATATAGAGGGTCAGCAAAAAAGGGGAAGATCCTCAAAAAGATGGGGTGACACGGTGGCTGCAACGATGGACACAAACAGCAACAATTGTGAGAAAGACGCAGGACCAGACAGTGTTTCATTCTGATGTCCATGGGGTCACAGGACCAACTAACAACAATCATATGAAGGAAACCCCTTGAGAGTCTACCGTCCACATGTGCATGTCCTAAGTAACTGTCACCTCCAAAATGCACCCTCCCTCCCTAGCAAGGAGGGTGCCAGCTATTCCTTGTCAACTTTTCCCCCTACCCTTGTGCCCACAAGGTCAGGCAAATGGGGACTTGGGGAGAGCCTAGGGCTGTGGGGTCCTGAGAACAGACCCCATGTCCCTCTGGTCCCTGTCTCTTGCACAGAAGCAAAGCCCCAGGCTGCACTTCCAGGGCTGTGACCCCCTTTCCTGCTGCAACCCCAGGTGCTCAGGTGGCTCTGAGGTGGGTGCGGGCCCAGCAGGGAGGTTTGTGCACAGGGTGGTGGTGGCGCTGCAGGGCTGTGACAAGCTGCTGGCACAGAGGAACACGGCTGAGTCCAGGGCGCTCAGGTTCACCTTGGAGCTGTAGTTGGGGAACTGCTGGCCTGAGAACCCATCCCGGGTGTCACCTTTCTCTCTCTCTTCACCGTTATAATACTGAACGAGGAACTGGGGACCCTGGCCCCGCGTCTGCTGGTACCAGGACACAGAGAGGTGCCCAGAGATGGGGGAGCAGCTCAGTGTCACCAGCTGTCCTCGTTGTTTGATCAGGTGACCCGGGCTCTGGGTGACTCTGGAATCGGAATCCACAGGGCCTGCGGGAGGGGACAGCAGCTGAAATGACCAGAGGGACCCCATGCATTGAGCTCAGATGCTGTCAAGTCTGGAACAGGGGCGTCCCCTCCGTATCCAGGACTCACCTGCCCCCAGGATGCAGAAGGCCACCCAGCAGAGAAGCCTGGGGCCCATGGTGAGTTGGGCAGGTGGAGTAGGGTCTCCCTGCGATGGTGCTGGCTCCCGCTCCTGGAGCTGGCACCCCTCCTCTGATTGGAGGGTAGGCTGTGATGTCACCACCCTGATGTCACTGTCCCTGATGGAGAGGGCACCCTGCCTCCCTGTCAGCCCTGGCCAGCTGGCCCACCCACCCCTGCCTGTCCTGCAAGCTACTTGCAGCAGGTGGGCAGGCTGCATTGTGGGTTCAGGCTCAAAGGGCCTCTTGTCAGTCCCAGGGCCCCTCTTCTCTTGTTCCTTTGCCTGTCATCACTAAGGGTATCGGAGGCCCTGCAGCCCCACCTCTACCCTCCTCTGGGAACACAAAGTCTCCCTAAGGTGCTCTGGTAGCATAGTGCCTAAGGCATTTGATGCTAACCAGAAGGCTTGCAGTTCAAACTCACAAGCCACTCCTTGGAAGGAAGACTGGGCTACCTACTTCCATAAAAATTTACAGCCTGAGAGACCCAAAGAGGGTCGCTGAGTCAGAATCGACTTGATGGCAGTGAGTTAGTCTTTCTCTTTTTTGTTTTAAGCCTGAAGTTCATGGTCTCAGCTGAGACAAAACATCTGCCCATCAGTGTCTCTGTGACTCTGCCAACCAGTCTCTACTTGAGCAGATCACAGAGGACTCTCCTTAACCCTCCCTGCCACACAGTCCCCCCACACACCCCACCAAGTGACATTGGGGTCAGTGGTCCCACAGCACCCCCATGTGGCCTTCTGCATTTCTACTAAGATAACCAAAAAAACCCACTGCCATGGAGTACACTCCTATTCACATTGACCCTATAGGACAGGGTAGAACTGGCCCATAGGGTTTCCAAGGAGGAAAATCTTTAAGGAAACTAAGTGTCACAGCTTTCTCCTGCAGAGTGGTTGGTGAGTTTGAACCACTGACCTTTCAATTAGCAGTCTAGAACTTAACTACTGTGCCATCAAGCCTCCACAAGGAAAAATAGATGGACTAATTATTCTTGTGTCTACTTTAGACCTTGGACTCACAGTTAAAAACTTTCCACTAAGAACATTCCAGGTCATATGACTACACTGGTGAAATCTACCAATCTATCAAGTGTGAGGAAGAAATACTCCAATTTTACACAAATTCTCCCAAAAGAGAAGATGAAAAATCATTTCCTAATGTATTTATATGAAGTCAGCATTTCCATTACCAACAGCAGATGTGAGAAAATAAAACTGTAGACCAACATGTCTTATGAACTTAGATGCCGAGAACCTTAGCAAAACCAAACAAATCATACACAGCAATGCGTAAAAAGAACAATTTGTAATGACCAAATGGGATTCATTCCCGGAATGCATGCTGTTGTTGTTGTTAGGTGCCGTGAAGTCGTCTCCAACTTAAAGTGACTATATGCATCGCAGAACAAAACACTGCCTGGTCCCGTGCCAGCTCCGTGATCCTTGCTATACTTGAGCCCATCACCGCTGCCACTGTGTCAATCCATCTCATTGAGGGCCTTCTCCTCCTTTGTCAACCCTCCACCTTACCAAGAAACATGTCCAAAGTAGGTGAGATGAAGTCTGGCCATTCTTGCTTCCATGGAGCAATCTGGATGCACTTCTGCCAAGACAGATTTGTTAGTTCTTTTGGCAGTCCATGGTACTTTCAGCATTCTTCGCCAGCACACAACTCAAAAGCATCAACTCTTCTTCGGTCTTCCTTTTTCATTGTCCAGCTCTCACATCCATATGAGGTGACTGAAAATACCATGGCTTGTGTCAGGTGCACCTTACCCTTCAAGGAGACATCTTTACTCTTCAGCACTTGAAAGAGGTCCTTTGCAGCAGATTTGCCCAGTGCTATACATCATCTGATGTCTGGACTGCTGTTTCCATTGGCATCGATTGTAGAACCAAGCAATGTCAATTCCTTGACAACCTCAATCTTTTCTCCATTAATCACAATGCTCCTTATAGGTCCAGTTGTGAGGATTTTTGTCTTATTTATATTAAGAAGTAATCCATACTGCAGACTATATTCTTCAATCTTCATCAGCAAGTGCCTCAAGTCATCCTCACTTTCAGCAAGCAAAGTTGTGTCATCAGCATATCGCAGGTTGTTAATGATTCTTCCTCCAATCCTGATGCCACATTCTTCTTCATATAGTCAAGCTTCTCAGATTATTTGCTCAGCATACAGACTGAATAAGTATGGTGAAAAGACACAACCCTGACACACTCCCTTCTTGATTTTAAATCATGCAGTGTCCCTTTGTTCTGTTAGAATGACAGCCTCCTGGTCTATGTACAAGTTCCTCATGAGTACAATTAAGTGTTCTGGAATTCCCATTCTTCTCAATGTTATCCATAATTTGTTATGATCCACACAATCAAATGCTTTTGCATAGTCAATAAAACAAAAGTATTCTTTCATTTGAGCCAAGATCCATCTTTTTGGTATTCTTTTATTTGAGCCAAGATCCATCTGACATCAGCAATGATATCTTTCATTCCACATCCTGTTCTGAATCCAGATTGATTTCTGGAAGTTTTGTGTCAATATACTGCAGCAATCATTTTTGAATTATCTTCAGTAAGATGTTACTTGCATGGGATATTAACTATATTGTTTGATAATTTCCACATTGTGTGGGATCACCTTTGTATGAAATGGGTATAAATCTCTTCAAGTCAGTTGGCCAGGTAGCTGTCTTCCAAATCTCTTGACAGAGCAAGTGCCTCCAGAGGGGCATCCGTTTGCTGAAACGTCTCAATGGGCATTCTGTCAATTCCTGGAGCCTTGTTCTTTGCCACTTCCTTCAGTGCAGCTTGGACTTCTTCCTTGAATACCATTGGTTCTTGATCATATGCCACCTCCTGAAATGGAAGAACATTTGGCGGTCATGAAGGTATGTCTGGCAGTCATGAATGTACCTCTGGCACTGATGAATGTACATGTGGCGGTGACAAACGCCAGAGTGCAAAGGGAGAGCGGCACTGGCTGTGATGGTAAAGGGCATGTGTCAACTTCTCAGGGCCCTGGTTCCAGTGGGTGGATGGTTATGTGAAGCTGTTATTTGGTAATGATGTTATGATGACATTTGGCAGAGGTGTAAAGATGTGGTTGTCCTCCGTTTTGTGACCTAATGGGGTCACCCTCCATTCCTGTGTAACATTGATTTTCACATAACAACTTGGTCTTTGGGACTGAACTGTGCTGATGAGTGAGGAGTGGGTGTATGATCCCTTACTAGATGTAGGAAAGGCATTTGGCACAATTCACATCTGGATGAAATCTCTTAGCAAACTGGGAATGGAAGCAAACTCTTCAACCTAATAGAAGGTGTTTCTAAAAAACTTCAGTTAACGGCATAAGGTACTGTGAAGACTGGATTCTCCTCCCCTAGGTTGAGAACAAGGATGTCCATCCTTACATCCTGTATTCAGCACTGACATTAAAACCCAGCCAGGACACCCAAACAGTAAAGAAAGGAGAAGCACCCAGGTGGGAAAGGCAGAGGGAAACAAGTCTTACTCACAGCTGACATGACCATGAATGCAGAGTCTTAAGGAGTGTTCAAAAACTAACCAGAAACAGAGAATGTGTTTACCAAGTTGCAGAATAAATCAGCAAAACTGAGCTGTATGTCTATACTGGTATTTAGAACAATACCAGTAGGGATTTGATATTTTTTAGGTACCACATGAAATATCAGCACAAATACTAAAGATAAAGTTAACAAAATATATACATGATTCCTACACTGATAACTCAAAAACACTGCTGTGAGAAATCAATTAATTTCTATATGAAGGAGAAGTATACCATGTTCATGCAGATGGTTGGTATGTCATGTTCATGACGGTTTCTCTCCAAGTTCATGTATAGACTGAACCGAAATCAAATCAAATTGCATCAGAATTTTCCACCATCACAGGGAGTAATACTTCCATTCCCTTTTCTTGTTTCTAGGTGAGTGCTTGAGGCCTTCCTGTCATAGTAGCGGGAAATCCAGTAGTTCCCGCCTCACGAGTTCCCGACACCATTCCTCCCATCAATTGTTCAGGACCCCTCGGGTCTTCATTTCCCAGAAGTCATTTCTAGCCACACACATCTTGCTGAGCTCACTCCTGCTGCCCTCCCTGGTGCTACGTGATGCTTCCATGGGCACCTGCTCTCACCCAGCTCAGTCCTACATGGGGACCACTTAGCCTGGTCCCTGTTGGCCCTGCAGGTGCACCCCAAGAGCATGAGCTTACACTCAAGAAGGCACCATCATTCCCAGGAGCCTCTCTGTCCCTGGCAGCAGCGCCTGGGTTGCATCTGTCGCCGCCACGTGCTGTGCCAGGACCATCCCTCCAACAAGATTAAGCTCTGAGGCTCAGACACTTTTCCTTCTGGAGAGTCCCCAGTTGGGTAACGTTGGAATCCTCCTGCAGGTCCTTCGTCTCCCCTCTTGTAAGCCTGTCTCTATTGGAAGATGAAAGGTATATTTTGCTAAACCAGGATGAAAACGAACAACAAAGATTGAAGGAGAAAACAGGGAACCCTAGTTTTGAACTGATGACTCATTGGGCCACAGTTTTTCTATCCCTGGCCCACAGCCATGTTCTGGGGCCTGTGAACATACCCCTAATACTGTGGCCCCAGATATCCCTGTGCAACATTTCCTGCTTTTGGAACCCAAGCTCATTCTGGACCTCTGCCACAGGGAAGCAGCTATACCGCAACAACACATTTCCTCGTGGCCATGGAAGCCGGTGGGAGCAGGTGAGGAGGGTGGCCGTGGAGTTAGCTTGTGGGCAGACAGGATGTGTCTATGTCAGGCTGTGACCAGGTTCCTGCCGCAGACATGTGCTAGTGTAGATGTGCCAGCCTGAGGCTCAGCCTGGAGTGTGTACCCTTAGTGACAGTGTACACATGTCAGCCCAAGGCTCAGCCTGGGGTGTGTACCCTTAGTGACAGTGTAGACAGGCCTGCCTGAGACTCAACCTGGAGTGTGTACCCTTAG